CGTGAGATGGTCAATTTCTTTCTTTCTTTTCTTTCTTTTTTTTTTTTTAATTTACTTAGGCACACAAGAGTTGGGGTGTAGGCCAAAGGTATAGGGAAGAGGGTGTGTGAGAAGATTCACCAGAGACAAAGCGGGGAGCAGAACAGGTGGACTGACTGAAATACACTGCTGAGGGTAATAGCCAGTGAGACAGGAGAGTGGGTCAGCTCCCTGGCTAGGATCAAACTAGTGCTGCAGTGACTGAGGACAGCTTCATTGTACTGAGACTTAACCCTTGCACCACAAGGAAGGCCCCCTGAGATAGCTGTTTCTTAGCTACTTATGGAAGGATGATTTTTTGTTAGAAACGATTCACACATGTGCAGTGAATTAGACTAAATATCTTATAAAGTTCTTACTTTGGGGTTTTGTATGTCATACTCTTAGAGGCAGCATTCTCTCCAGACTATCTCATAGTCTTCTCACTCACCAGGAAATGATGATGCTGTAACCAGATGCTGGTATTCATCATTATCATCACACCAGGACAGACTAATTAATTACTTCTTCCACTGAATTTCCCTTGTGCTTATTGACTGTTATATCCTTGGCAAAAAAATAAATGCTTCTGGTGGTGTTACTTATCCTCTTATGGTCTATTCAGTGTCTATACTTCAATAACAAATAGACATCTCAAACTTAACTTACTCAAAAACCAAACTCCTGATTCTTCTTCCCTACTCCCAACCTGCTCCTCCTGTTATCTTGTACATTTCAGAAAATGACATCTTTATTCTTCTGACTTCTAGATAAAAAAACCTTAAGGTCATCTTTAACTACCTTTGTTTCAGTCCCTTAATTTAATCCATCAACAAAATCTGTCAATTCGACATATTCCAGAATCTTATTTTTTCCTGTCCCTATCACTATCAAAGTGCTCTAAGTCACTGCTATTTTTGACTCGGATTACTGTAGAATAGCTCCTAATCTACTTCTTTTCCTTTAACAGCTTAATTTCCAAATGGTAGTTTCATAATTGTTTTATAAAATAAATCATGTCATGTCATCCTTTTGCACAATCTTCCACTGACTTCTTATATCAGATTAAAACCAAAGATCAATACATTGTCTGATCTGGTTTCATCCTTCCAGTACACTGACAAGGCCATAAGTCTTGCTGGTTTTCATTCATATCAAGCATAATAACACCTTACCCCTTAGCACTTGCTATTTCTTCTTCCTAACATATTTACCCCCAAGATATTTTACTCCCTAATTTTCTTCATAGCTCTTAAAATGTGATCTTACCAAATGACATTTCCTGACCACCCTATATAAAATAGAAAAGCTCCACTCCATCCCACTCTGAACACTACACATTGCTTTTATTCTGGTTTATTTTCTTCAAAGCCACTGCTTACTACCTGATATATTATGTATTTTACTTGTTTTTATTTTCTACTTTCTCTCCCCATAAGAACACAAATCCATGAGGGCAAAAACTACATTTTGGTTCACTATTATATTTTCAATGCCTAAACTGTTGGCTGACATGTAATAAGACTTCAATAAGCATCTTCAAAATAAGTTAATTAATCTGCACTGTTTCTCTCCCAACCTAAACTGCCTGTAGTGAGAAACTTCTCTTTCTTCATCTTTGTAATCCCAGCACCTAACACTTTGTCCTGGCCATAGCAAATATCCAAATAAAGTCTGTTAGGATGTAATTACAGATCTGGAAATCTTTGTTTGTAACACATTCTGGTGTTATATTGCTATTCCATGATATTCTTCTAAGGCTCTAAAGTTCCCTGGTCCAAAACCCGTGTCATTATGGATGTCTTATGGCATTTTGGATGCCACAAGGTACCATTCTGGGCTGTTCTAATTAACAGAGATTCTGATCAGGTATATCAGATAGTCAGAGTATAGTGCTAGTTATTTCATGGTCAGTTGGCTCTGCCATGTTTCACTATCCTTCCTCTGGCTTTTATTCTAGTGGGTTTTGTTAAAACAATTGCTATAAGGTTAAATCATAGATAGGAAAATAAAACTCTAGTGCTGAGCGAGTAAGGAAATGGCTTGATTGTCAGTAACACTATTAAATAATAAAGGGAAATATGATAAAGTATATTTCCCATGACATAACTGCTTTTCATATTTAAAAGGCCTTAGCTTGATAAAAAGAACATTTATGAATCTGGTAGCTAAAACAAACAAAAAAAATACAACAGACAAAATTCTAAGAGTGGAGATTTGTTTCTCCAACTTCATCAAGTTTTTTAAAAGTAATAAATCAGATAAAATATTACTCACTTATATTTATGATTTTAGTTCCTAACCTAATAGAGAAAAAAAATAGCACAAGTTAGAAGGATAAGCAATGTAAGAGAGCCAAACATAATAAATAAGATTAATTTCCACAGCAGACTTGTTATAGGTGACTACAAAAAAGCAAGAATAGGGCAAAAGTGCTTCCCTGGAGACAAGAGAACAAGGCCACCTTTGATAGCCTATGGGTGCACTCTGCCAATTAAAAAAAAAAAGAATTGGCAGGCTGGAGTTAAACAATGAAAGTTACAAAAACAGCATGGTTTCTGTAACAGCATGGTTACAGAAAAAATAGACAATTCAGAAAACCCAGCAGTATAATTCTAACGATAAGAAAAACAATCCAGTCTTCTCACTGGCACAAATCCCAGCATCAATTAAAACAAATTTGTCTTTCCCCCACCTCTTTTTGGTGCCATTTCTTCTTCTTTTCTTGTCTCATTTCTATTGATTGTGTAAAAATAATCTACTTCAGTTTGCACCAGATCCTGACTCAAGAACAATTCTGTCAAAATAGTCCATGAGTTTTGGCATCCTTCATGTTTTACTTCAGTGAAAGAAAATTGAATCAGTATCAGTCTATACTCCCAGAAGTATCCATAAAGTGTCAAGAGAATACTTACAAGGTTATTTTTAAAACTGTACTGAGGCAGCAACATCAGTTCCAAGAGATCTTAAATATGCCCCCAGCCCCTCACCCCTAGCCCCAGTACTCACAGCTCTCCTACCTCAGCCTGTTTTGGCTTCTATGACCTTCTCTAGCTCTTTTGTTCAATCTTTTGTACATTAGAACAGTGAGAAAGATATACTGACTCTGTGGCAATGGGCGAGAGAGGGTTCAGAAAGTGTAAACCATGGTTCAGAGTCTCACAGTCAGTTTCTATGTGTCACATCTATGTGGATAACCTGCGCTTCCTAAGGATGCTTCTTCCTTCTAGCCTATTATTGCTTATTCTTTATGCTATCAGCTCCTGTGTGACTTGAGACAGATTGGAATCAGAAAAGCAAAGAGAATTCTTCTTACATAGGATAAAGTACTATAAAGAATGCTAGGCAAAAAATAGAGAAAATTCCTGGGGGCCAGAGAAATCTTTGACAGACCAGGAAAAGCAAGTGCCAATTACATTCAGCATGAAAAAAGAAAACATTCCACATTTCACTTCTCCTCCTAGTAATTCCCTCTTTGATTTTTGGAACTTCAAGGTTTCATTTTGGCCTGAAGGTTAGAAGACTTGGACCTGGTTTGCTACATGAATCTAAACTGCTTTAAAGTGGAAGAAGAGTGAGAGATTTCCAACAATACATTTCTCTCACCACTGTGAGTTAGCATGAATCAGACTGATCATCTTGTGTTTGTGCAAGAAGAATGTTTTTTTAAAAACAGAGCATGATAACTGGGTAGAAATTCCCTGCAAACAAATAACTAAAATGATTACCACAGTGGGGGATGGTAAATCTGCTATTGGAGTCTGCATGGTCATTAGAGTTTTAAAAGAAAGAAGTGAAAGTAAATTCAGAAGCTCTGACCTCCACAGACATAGGGAGACTGGACACGGCAATTTAAGCGAACCAGACTATCATCCCCTGCTCCCGCCAAATGAAACATCCAAAGGCTCAAAAGAGTACTGGGAAAATTCTGCAGAGTACCTACTTCATTTAAACAATTAATACTTCATAAATTACTGTCCAGATGAGTAAACTGATGAGTAATGTGAAAATCAAGAAAGCAAGTAAACTACACACAAAATTTCCAGATAAAGCTACAAAGCCAGACATAAATTTAGCCCAGCGCCACTATAGTGACTGAAGGCTAAGGGTCACATGCTCGTCCATTCTCTTCCCGGCAGATAGAGGACACCAGGTGTTTGGCCCAGACCACCACTTTCTCCTGAAAGCTTCACCCTGTTAGAAAGCCTTCTCAGTCCCAGCTCTAGCTCCACACGTTAGCTGGTCAGTGACATGGAGTATCCCGGTTTCCACACTCTATCACTCTATCCATTCTTTGGTGGTGGTGGGGGGTGTTGGGGAAGGGGGGAAGGAGTAAGGGTGGAGAAAGAGGGGAGAATGATGAAACATTTGGGATTCAGGAAACCTCCACATTCTACTCTTTCTCTTTCCCCTCAGAATGGAAAATCAAAGGTAAGTAGGTAAGACCAAAATCAAGCAGAGGAGTAGCTCTTGCTAGAGGGAAATGAGTTCAGCAAAACTCATCTGGATATGGTGACCGCGCCCTTGCTCCCATCCTTCTTCTTAGGCTCATTAGGGTTCCGCCTGGGGTGAGATCACGGGACCCACCAAGGGGCCTGCGAAGCAGGGGGAGCTGTTCCCATTGCTAGGTGTATGCCCCCCAAGCAATCCAATTCTGTGTAGGGGAAGGGAGAGCAACCCGAGGGCAAGATGCGGTCGGACGAGGTGTCCGCGACCCAGAGGAGAGAAATACGAAGGGAGGGAGCTGAGCGCAAGGAAGGCGAGACAGAAAAGCTACGACTGAATGCGGACAGAACTGAAGCCCGAGGATGCCGGATGGAGCAGTCGGTGACCGAGCAACCGCGAGCTAGTGGACAGCGGCGGGCGCCAGGCCTGAGCCGGGGCTGGTGACTCAGTGAAAGCGTGTGGGCGGGCCCGGGGAGACGCAGGTGACCGGCTGCCGCGCGCGGGGATCCCCAGGGGGCGCGGCCGCGGAGGCTCACCGTGTCCTTGGACGAGCCCAGCTTCTTGAGGCCGTCCAGGGGCAGCAGGTCCGCGGAGTCCTTGTGGATGAACTGTACTGCCTGCTTCATCCGGCGCTGCTGCCGCAGCGTCGCCAC